CGGCTTGTTTTACAACGTCGTTGCCAAGCGACGAAAACCCAACCCCGATGGCAAACACCGAGGGGGGGGGGTTGGGGGGTTGATATCTGAAGCATAGAAAACACACAGGCACGAAGATAGGACATTGTTAAGGAGGACCCGATTGATTCGCAGGGTATCCGTCGATTGACTTTTACCTGAATCGGTACACCTTCGCATATGGCGTCAGCGGCAGGACAACATGCCACAGAGGCCCCAGAAATAATCCACCGTGCACAAAGCCACCTACATACCATAGAAACGGAATGATGTAATACCTGCTTGCTGCGGTGACAAGTGGTGCTCGTGTCGTCGCTCTTCGGTTGTCTAATGTTCAGTTCATATAACCAATTTTTCGAAGGGATCTTCATACGCTAAAATGGTTCTATTTGATAGCTGTTGATTGGACAGCAGTTTGCAGACACGTCACGCGAACCAAATTTTTGGTTTCAGCGAGCGGCTGGGCTGAGGCTCCTGGAGTGTGTGCGATGCCGCTGGGTTGCCTCGTTGCGTGTTTCCTCGCACACGGTGGCGTTCGCCACACCTCACCCCACCCACGAAGGTTGTAGAAACACGCACCAGTCTAGCGAACCGTTCAGCCGATGGCTTCACCCCACGGAAGTGGAGGAGGAGCAGGAGGCAGTGGCCAGCCACCCTGCAGCACATCCAGCGGCAGTTCGCGGGATCATGCTGGTACTGCTGGACCCGACCTTGCACTCGGAGAGCAGGAGCGCCTTGTTTCTCACGCCACCAACGGACTAGAGATCACGGGCGCCTTCCAGCGAGCACCAGCGCAGCGGGGTTCTGGCAGTACTTGGCATCAACCGGCGTGGAACTCCGGCTCGACGGCCGGCCCCGACAACTTTTCGCGCAATTTTCTGGCTGCCGGGGATAAGGGCGGGAGACAACAAATCCAGTCGAGCGCCCATGTTGCCGTCCCGACAGGTATCGGCGGCGGTACACCTCGAGCGGAACTCAGTAGCAGCAGCTGGTGTCGAGAAAAACTCAACATCCAGCCGCATCTGGCGAGGTCGCAGGGCACACTGATTCCTCCACGTCATNGGGTGGAACTCCAGCTCGACGGCCGGCCCCGACAATTTTCGCGCAATTTTCTGGCTGCCGGGGATAAGGGCGGGAGACAACAAATCCAGTCGAGCGCCCATGTTGCCGTCCCGACAGGTATCGGCGGCGGTACACCTCGAGCGGAACTCAGTAGCAGCAGCTGGTGTCGAGAAAAACTCAACATCCAGCCGCATCTGGCGAGGTCGCAGGGCACACTGATTCCTCCACGTCATCAACGGCCGTCATCACACATCGGCCTTGCCGCTGCTGTGACGGCATCTCAAGCACCAGGGGCGGTGGAGACGGTTGCGGGCGTGCCCAATGGCACAGAGATTGGAATGCCTCCGCCGCGTGTGCCCCTCTCCTCTGCTGCTCTTGGGCAGGCAGCGTTAGCGGAGGAACTCGGAAACATTGGAACTGCGGGAATGGAAGCGGCGGGGGTGGGAGCTGGGAGCGGCCAGGGGGTGGCGTGGGAAGGATCAGGGGCAGCGGGAGGTTTGGCTTTATCTTTCGCTGGCTCTGTGCATTCTTCGATACAGGGGGGCGCGGCCGGTGGGGTAGTGCCACAGCAACCTCTCCAAGCGCTCGGTGGCAACTACGAGGAGGAAGATGACAGCAATGGTAACTGGGCGCCCACCCCGATCCCCATCTGTGAATAAAACTAGCTGGTGCTGTGGGAGAACGGAGACGATTCGGTCCATATGCGGCGGGTGTAACCGATGATGGCACTGCCACATTGCGCATGGATTGATTGACATGGACAAATATCGCTTCACCTGCTGCTTCTGCGACTCGCCGATTAGGACTGCGGCGGGATGTTCGTGTCACAAGTGAGTTCCGTTGTTTTTCTATGTCTCGCCTTGTCCCGCACTTTGCGCTTTCCTTTTGCTGCGATTTCATGCCGACGCTGAAGGGTTCCGCTTCAGGGAGGTATATCCAGGGACGTTCCACTGGCGTTGTATTCGAGAAGGTGGATTCGAGCGCTTTTGCTGAACGAGGTTGTGCGATGTACGTTCTACCAATACTTCTAATACTTTGTGGTTGCTGTTCAGCGTTCTGCAGTGCATCTGATAACCCTCGATGTTGTTTACTGTTGAGCACCTAGATCCTCCGCATTAATGACATTCAGCCTCAGCCTTGTAACATGGACAACGTTGAGCTGAGCGATAAGAAAATTTCCTTGCCACCACGCACTTTTTATTGCAGGTGCGTGGGCAATGCCAGGTACAGAACCAACTCTGCAACTCGTGCACAAGGCGGCCACGTACGAGCGAGTGCCGTTGATCGAACGGCGGGGCGGCGGAAGCCGACGACCAGCGTTTTCAAGCTCAAGCCCGACCCCCTGCTCGCAGGAGATAGCTCGAGCGGCTGGCAGAAGGCAGTGTACTCTGTTTCCACGACCACTCGGGGTGAGCGCGTCACCGTCGTCACGAACTTCATCCCCAACGAGCCTGGAAGCTACAAGATTGTCTGCTGCAGCAGCCAGTGCATCTCCACGTAAGTCGTTTTGTGAGATGAGTTCGGAGTTTAGATTCGACCTGGCCGTTTTGATTGTTCGTATCCAACATACGGAGTAACTCAGTTAAATGCTTCCCCCGGAGTTATTAGATCGTGATCAATACCGTTGTGCGTGCGGCCAGAGCTCTTATAGGTGAACTTATGCGGTTGAACTAATGTGTAAACTCTTTCGCCGTGATTTCGTGATTTGCAGCACCCACGCGCAGGAACCCGACCCCGCCGAAAACGTCCAGCGAATGGCAGTCGCCCGGTGTGACCACGCCATCGTAGTCGTTGGAAGCGGGACACTCCCAGTCCCGAGGGCTGGCATTCGTGACGCCACGCCTGTCGTGTTTGGCAAGAACGGAGAAGGAGTCGTCGCCTTGGCTGACAAGGCAGCGCAAGAGATGCAGTTGGGACAGAGCGGTCTGTCGGACGTTTTGCGAATGGCGGCGATGGCCGAGGAGCATGATATGCCGTTGTTGGTGCACTTCAGCGACACCAGAAGCTACGCCGTGTACCACCCAGGGCATCGATCAATTGCAGAAGGCTGGGCGGTCGTGCAGTGCGAAATCGACTTGCAAGATGGAGCTGGTGGTGCACGAAGGAGTAGGAGGACACCCGCGAAGAGGAGTTCCCAAAGTTTCCGATGCAAGGTATCGTCCGTCTGAGGTAGCAGCGGGGAATGTACTAGCTCGAAGATATACTCTTGTGTTTTTTGTCGTAGTGTTCTGGACGTAAATAGTTGTTTTGTGTGGGTGGTGGACACTCAGATGTAGCTTGCCTGCTAGGCTCGGCACAGTGGTGTTGCCCACGAACGGCCAGAGACGACTTTTTACCTCTAGCTTGAGACGGTAAGCACTGCAACTGCTATCACACAGAGGAAAAGCGAATTAAGTGACACTCCAGTTCGTTTCTACCGACGAAACTAGGTGAATGCCATGATTTGATCATATATTTTCTCTCCCTCCCGTGGTCCCCTTTATCCTTTGGTTGGTTAGGCTAATGGAGGGACGCCATGCGGTGCAGCGAGGAAGTCCAAGCGTGGGAGGTGTGTCCACACGAACATCACGGCGCTGGGTGTTATGGGCAGCCAAATTAGCGAGGAGCCCATCGACGAGGAGGAAGGGGAAGGTTCCGGCGACGAAGGCGTTGGCTCAGCGGCGTCAGAGTATAGGCGCAACAAACCCGCGTTTGCATCAAAGGTAGACAAGCTGTTGAGGGTAATCGGCACCATCAAGTTCCCGGTAGAGGTCCTTGCTGTCCTGACCGACGAGGGAGCAAGGGGCAGTCTCGACGGCGTTGGCGGCAAGCGAAAAGAGATCTGCAGCCTCCAGGCGGTGTGCCAAAAGTGCGGCAACATGCTTGGCCTATTGCGAAGCGAAACGATCACAGCCGTGGTTCCGGTGAGTGGAGTTGGCGATGGTGGAATGTTGTGGTGAGGTGCGATGATTCAGAGCTTGTGATCGCACGTTGCACCCTGGGCCAATGTCATTGTAGTTTATTGGTGAAGAACCTTTGGGAAGATCGGGCAGGACAGGAGAAGAGGGGGACGGCACTATGGGTAAGGGTTCCGCGCACCGATTGACAATTTGTGTATGACGCGAAGACTCAATGCCAGATTGCGACTATGTTTTCAATGGGGGAGAATATAGTGTAGGATAAAACACTAACAAACACTTAACATATTTGATTGCCTTTCAAATATTGAAAAATAATTTGGGATTGTGTTCAATCCTTCATCTCCCCGGGCCGCCCTGTTGTTTTCCTGTAATCTCACTGCCCAGGGTCCGGACTTGCAGGAAGTTGTGATAAAGATCAAGGGCTGTGAGGGCTGCGGTGTGGAAGCAGTGACGGGTGATGATTGGCGAGAGCACGGGTATTTCCTGTTCGGCAACAAGTTTGCGGTACATCTCTCGCACATGGTCACGGCCCGGCATGCCGTTCAAGGAGGCACGGCCATAAGCCATGCGTCCAACAACCTCCTCCGACCTTTGACGAACAACCTGCGATGGATGAGCCAGAACAAGTTGGCGAGAAGGTGGGAAGCTTGGCCGGGAGAGGGCAAGGGTATGAGATTCAACCTTGCCGGGGGCAAGGTGACTCGGGAGTTGCGTGGTTCTAGCGGTACCAACAAGATCGAGATCAGCACGACCCACCACACTTCCCGACGACCGGGCTTTCTCCATTACCTCGTGTGCTTGCTAAGACGATGGAGTATAGTGAGAACTTGGGACGTGCGCTTAAATATTGACGTATGTTCTCATGCCTTACGTTCGTACCTGTTTCCCACCCCGTTCTGCCCTCTTGCCTGCCGTACTCTGCCGCACGCCAGAGTCCTACAAAACAATTACCTCACGAAGCAGTTGGTGGACGCCTTCGTTTGCTTCGAGGCCCTCACCGACCACCCGTACGCGTTCCGCAGCTACAAGCACGGCTACACCCCACTTGTCAGCGAATGGGATGGCTGCAACAAGCCGGCCGTGAACATCAGCATGGAAGAGTATTTCGGAGCGCGCGAGGAGCAGGTGGTGGACATGGACCTCGACTGGCTCTGGCTCATCATCAGCATGCTGTCGCCGATGGTGTCGTCTGGAGACACTCCAGTTCTCGTACAACACGCCTGTCACCTTTTGCCCCCAAAACCGGAAGTCTAACATCATCACCATTCTCGCTCGCGGGAAAGCCCGGCAGCCAGGAGATGTCGAGGCAGCCGATGGCAAGGTACTCATGGACTACGTGGCGACGAAGGGAGAGGGGCAGCTGTTGGAGGACATGTTGGAAGGCATGACCAAGGACGACCTGGACGCCTTGTACTGCTTGTGCTTTGGGAAGAACGGGCCGGGAATGAGCAGGTGAGTCGATGTGTTTAAACACGACTCTTTTGCTGCTCCTCCAAGTACACACGGAGATACTTTATGTTGGGGTGTGGTGCGGTCAATTTGGCTGGAGACGGCGGTTGATCGATTTGGCACGATTTTATAGATCCAACACGGATCCAACAAAGTATGTAGAATAACCGGGACTTTTTTCGATAATAGTCTCGCAGATATGTAGGATAATCGTCGTACTCGTGTTCGGTGCAATCGTATTTGTTTCTTGTCGGTCTCGCGTGTGCTGCTCTTCGTTAATCTTCTTGCAGGTACAGCACGAAGGCACTGATGCAGAAGCTGTTCAAGGATGTGGCGGAGCATTGGGGGAAAACAAACTTCGGGAAGGAGGACTGCGCTAAGTTCTTCGTGGACAGAGGGGGGGTGTTGGTGTCGTCTGGCGTCGAGGGCGGATATACACCAGATGGGGTCATGACGTGCCACATGTTCATGTTGCGCGCGGAGAGTGCATCGGACTTGGCGGTGCTGCTGCTCCACCATTTGGTGAGTCGTTTTTTGTCTTTGTGGATAGGGAGAGTTCGGTGTCTAACTCAGCACGACAGCAGAACTGGAGACGAACCACTTGAGGCGGCACGTGGCTAATATATGAGGACATTGTGTTCGTGGTGCACATATGAGGTGGGAAAGAAAAAGAAAAAAAAACATTCTGGTCCCTTACAACTGAGTACCGTACGTAGGTACGGCCACCAGTTTGTGTTTTT